GTGGACTGTGGGGTGCTCATTCTCGCGGGCTCACAAACATGGTTCCGGTCGACGTGTTATCAATGTCTTCCAAAGAGCAAGGTAAGCCACGAGGGGCTTGGTGCGAGCGCAAACATGTCACTCACGCTAGTCGTGTTTGGGGGAGTCGTACGGTTGTGCCTAAATCCTACCGCTCAGAAGGACAACCAAGGAGTACTAGGAGCGAGTTTCCGAGTCGAGCAGGTTTCGGAAATTGTCGGCTATTCCAATTTAGTAGAATTCTTCTAGTATACTAATGCAAATGCTGCAATCTGATTGGCTGAGCTACTCGAATACTATCAGCCATTATACACACACACACAACACACACACATAGAAAATAAACAATTGAATTTGTATTAAGAGGGATTTTGTTCGTTTTCTTTTTCAAATTTTACATTTGGCGTTCACGGCTTTCCTCTAAAAAAGTTGAAAATAATTCAATATGATTTTTGATGTGGCAAGCGGAAGAAAATTTAGTGGTGAACAATAAAGGCAATAGAGTGTTTATGTCTCAGAACTATCTGTCTGATAGTTCCTCGACAGAAACACTCTATTGTTTAATTGTACTGGTTCACCACCAAATTTTCTTCGATTCTTATGGGTTTAATTTGATCACGTGACGTGATAGTGTTCATTCGCGGAGGGACATTTCAGTCGAGTTTACCTCTCTGATCGTTGCTGTATTTAACAAATTTCCTCGCTTTCTGCTATTCAATTTACCGTAGAAAAGTCTGATTTCAAGTGATTTTAGAAGTAACGACTGACAGAAATTGTTTTTGTCGTAAAACTTCAAACTTCGCACAAAATTTCACACCGCAAAAGAATTATGGAGAGCTTAACTGGTGAACTAAATGCAACTAACATAAAGTAGTTCGAAAAAAATCTGTTCTTTAATACATCTTTCTTTGCCTACTATCTGAGTTACTCGCTCGCTGCGAAGAGCTTTTTACAAATCGTTAATAGACGGCGCGGAAGCCGATTCAATGACAAAGTTGCGTAAACAAACCCATTTGTAATCTGTAAAACAAATTTATTGCAGGAAAAAAAAATAAACATGTTATTTGCCGGCTTAGGGTCGGTCCGTATAGTGAAAAACTGTGACCTCGGGCTTGAAAATGCTGTGACCTCGGTCACAGTTTTTCACTATACGGACCGACCCTAAGCCGGCAAATAACATATATCTATGCCTCGTGCCCACACTTAAAGTCATGACAGCTCTTCTAACATTGAGAGGGTAGCGAAGACGATAGCATCAACTGGATTTCTGACCAACTTTTATGGAGCATTTGTGCTAGGTTACGTGAGAGGACAATCAAATTTTAACTTCTGGTAGATTGCTGGCAAAGTAGGCTCGATTACCAGCCGCTGTTTCGGGAAACGAGCCCGCGCTCACGAGAAAGCAGCGAAAATCGAGCCTACCGGCAAAGCCAGCAGAATTTAATTTATCCTACAGCTGTTCTCAGAAATAGCAAAAATTACCAAGAAAGCTCATGTGGTTAGTATTACTAATCTTAAATGAAAAGGGGCTTTTGGGAAAGAAAGATTAAAAAAATTCTCACAAAAATGTGACAAAAAGGTGAAAATGCACTTGGTAACTTGATAAAAATTGTTTAAAGCAAGTCTAGAATTTCATAAAAAGAAATTCATTTACCATTCAAGTTGAACTCTTGAAATAATCAAAACATTGTTTCACAAATGCTGTCCTAAATGGGCAATTTACTTTTGTGTATTCCAGATTCCAAGTGATTGTTACAGTAATGGTAAACCTAAAAGTTGACCAAAGTTCAATTTCCCAACATATGGCATCAAAACTGAAACCAAGTGTGGTCCTCTGTCACCCCCTGAGAAAAGAACCAATTTGACTGAAACACTGCAAAATAAGGAAATAACACCTGTCTTCAGGTAAACAAGCTTCCACAAATTTACTATTCCTCCAGTATAAAGTGCACTGTTTGTATGGTGTATTTACTATACTATAAAATAACTCTCGATTTCTAACCAATCAGCGCGCGTATTTTCTTAGGACTGTTTTCTAAAATCCTTTATAATTTTACCCCGTTTATACGGCCACTCGAATCAGTAATGTTCATTTTTCCTTTGTTAATATTGTATGAGCTGATCGAAGTTTCAGTTTTTCTTAAGTTATATTGCATTCTGGATGCTTATTACAGAACAGTTGTATAGAAGTGCAATCTTGATATATCTGTGAAGATGTCACTCCAGTCATCAGGTTTGACCCTACCCCGTTAATCTGGTCACCGCGTTAATTTGGCCAAATTTGTATGGTCCATTTTCCACTGTATTTGGGTTTCTTTGAGAGCTGATAAACAGCTTTTTAGAGAAAGGTTGACAACAGGCGAATCTTTGCTGACGTCATTGTCTACATTTTTCCCCGGGGGCATTTTTCCTCATGAACATACGACTTTGCGCATAGAATGCATCATGCTAGACACGATTTTACTAGAAAAACGTAAAGAGCTTGTAAAACTTAATTAGTGGTGAAATTTTTGGTTCTTTGGGTGTAATATTCGAGGAGAAATTGGCTTTCAAAAACTTCAAAATTTCTGTGTGGCAAAAGCGCTAATGAGCTCATACAATCTTTGTAAAATTTTGAGCTTTTAAACCCTCGTCGCACAAAAAGTATTCTATACATCGCGCTCAAATTCCTTGGAACAGTTAATCGTGCCGTACCCTTTCAATATTCAGTATCAATCTCCTTGTAGCTCCTTCAGAAACTTTATCGCTTATGGTAATGAGGCAATTGTTGTAAACAAAGATTCTCCTATAACGCATGCGACGAAAGGTACTTTGGGTAGTTGTAGTTTACCGCTGGTTGATCGAAGTCACGGTGTTTCGGGGCGATAGGAGGAATATTGGGACATTTGTAAGTTCTCCTTTCATGATAACAGACCGTGGATTTCGATTAATTAGACAGATTTAAGGTAAACTACCAGCACCCATTGTACTTTTCGGCTTTGCCACGTACGCTTCGACAGTCTTTCTCGAAATAGCTGTAGTGGCAACAACTTGCTTAGACGGGCGAGATGCTTACTCCAAGCTCGGGATGGGAGTCGGGGAAGAGAGGAAACCGCGCACATGTCGCTTAGCCTTACGGGTTCGAACTCGAATTGGGTGTGAAACAGGCAGCATTCATAATTATTTACACGCGAGATTGTTTGGCCACAATCCAAAGTTCATCGATTCACAAACGTTTGGTACTTTCAGGGTGAAAACCTCAGTGGAAATTGCACTAAATCAGTGGCGGATCTAGCGGATGGATCTGCCCCCCCTATTTTGGGTAAAAAACAATAAATCGCAGAAGAGAGAAAAACTGGCAGGGCAAGCAAAATAAATTGCCCTTCCCCTCCCCCCCACCCCCCACTTAGCACTTAGCTCAAGGTCTGCATCCGCCAATGCTAATAATGTACAAGCCCCTTAGAAAGTTTATACAGTTCTAACCCCCCCCCCCAAAAAAAACATATCTTTCAGAAAAACATTGTAAAATAAACAAATGATCACAGAACAGTGCCATACTTAATTTTTATTGAACAACTGTTTTTTAACATCATGGAAAAAACCACTAGCGATAAAAATTTACTGGATAACTCATGTGAGACGTTAAGAAACTCCTAGCAAACCTTACATTTTCTCTCCGTTGTAGAAATGAGAAATATGCAGCTCTGTTGCACGGTTTTTGCAAATATTAATGTGTGACAACATGAACTGCATGTGGAAATTTCAAGAGAGTCTTGCTTAGTATCGGAACAGGTCAACCAAGACAAGAGATGTCAATTTAAAGTTCATCCTTTTGGTCTTGATCTTCATCCAAGTCTACATCTGATAAATCGATATCCTCTTCTTCTGGTAACTCTCCATCTTTACCATCCCATGGCGCCGTTTCCTCGACACTGGGTAGGTTACCGCCAACAACGGGAGATGTCGACCCACGTCCCACTGACACAGTTCTCAGAAACTCGTCAATGCCAGTGTTATCAAAGGGACCTTTTAGTGTGGCGTATTTCATTTTGCGGGCATTCACTGCCGCCATCGCTGGGTAACCAAAGCCTCCCATACCGAGGGCATCCTCAAGCTTCATCTGGGCACCGGCCTCTGTCCAAATCCATCCCCACATTTTCTTCTTGTACTTCTCTCCCATTGACTTCAAGATGTTCAGATAATTGTTTCTCCCAGATGCCCCTGAGTCCAGAATGTGTGGTAGAACGGAAACGACACAGATTGGCTTCCCTTCACAGTTGCTCTTAAATACCTCGTTATTTACAAGCTCCAGGACCTCTGGTGGCTCAATTGAATCAGCAAGCTTGTCCAGAGCAAACTGAATTATGTCCGAAGCAGATCTTGGACCTTCATAGTTCTCTATGCTGTGAGAGTCTTTGACGCCGGCTGCAAAGACCTTGATGGTTGGGTAGCCTTGTACTTGGTACCTACTAGCCATGACGGTATGGACAGTGGCATCAACGGCTCCAACTTTAACCTTGCCTTTCAGTTCTGTAGCAACCTTAGCCCACTCAGGAGCAAGTCTTTGGCAGTGACCACACCTAAGAGAAAACAGCAATGGCAATGTCATGAAATGGTTCTAGCAATAATATTAAACAATGGAAAATCTTGTAAACTGTTTAAAAGATAAATCTGCAATGGATATGTTGGGGTTTACATTTGCCTTCGGCAAATTTAATCCACATTATATATTTAAAGGAATCACAAGGCCAGAGGTACAGTGTAAGTACCTTGTACATGAATTTTATCATGATTGCTATGGAAGTAATCTTGGCACATCTACCCTACGGTTGTTGCTACTGATTAAAACATGCCCCATACAAAACTAACATTTAGTTTACTAGACACAGCTGTAGTTGTCAATCCATTTCACTACACGAAAAAGATTACATGTATATATGCACTTACCAAGGTGCAAAGAACTCAACCAGGACAAGGTCCTTACTGTTAAGAACTTCTTCCTCAAAGTTAGAATCTGTTAACTCGATGACATCCTTTTTATCTCCAGTCTTGCCACCACCCTGCATGTAAAATGTATAGTGATGGGATCAGTTGCAATACATATAATTTATGTCACTGAACTAGCATGAGGTCTGTACTGGAGAAATACTGATCAAGTTCTTTTTTTTGCAGGTTTATGCACCGAGCTGCAGGCGAATTTCACAAACCTGCAAAAACAAGAAACAAAACCAACATCTCCAAACTAGTTTAAGGTAATTCCCCTGAAATAAAACTGTCCACAGATTTTTGTTCAAACTTTGTCCACTGAATATTTATCATATGAGAACTTTAATTACGAAATAAAAAGTGGGGTTGCCCATGCTCGTTAAGGAGCAGTGAGGCATTGAAAATGTCCTATTTTAGTATTAATTAATGCTTATTACAAGAACGCATTCCAAGAGATTGTAAAATCTTTGTGAGCCCAGACTCATGAAAACACGCCTCAAACTACAGTCAATACTTGTGTTGGACACAAATAAACTTTTTAAGTTTGATTTTGACAGACAGCTGAATCCTTGTTAAAATATTGGAACCAAATTGCTTGCCACGGCTATCAAACTGCAAATAGGAAAGACTACAGTGCAGCTGCTATTTTCCTTATTTCTTCAATTTTCAGCAATAAAAATCAGATCAGTCTTTTCTCACGCAAAGCTAATGATTAGTTGATTAAAATGACTGGAAAAAAAATTGGAGTACCCGAGCTCGTTAGTGAGCTATAGCCATTTTTCAACCGACAGAACTCAATATCAAGGCAAATCCGTCATGTTTTCAATGTGCACGTGCACAAGTGCGCGCTAGTGACGCCATAAATTATGCACAGTAAGGATGCACAATGCAAATGTGAGGAATCACCTTAACAATAAAGCATTTATTGTAATCTTCTTGGTCTTGTTACTCTATTGATAGATTGAGATCCTTCCATGATCCCTTCTTTGCAAACACATGCACAAAAGGTAAGCATTTATTTACATTTCTCACGTTGCATCTGTAAATGTTAAACTGAAATTGTCCTGTTAACGTGAGGGTAAAAAGGCTCCTGCAATGTTCATTTGTCCAATAAATTGTAAAAGCAATTCACTGAAATTAATTCATGGGCTGTCCACCTTAGCAATCTGTATTGCAAAATTTGGAATGCTGAGGGAATCAATCAAAATTGACCTTTTCAATGTGGACCAGTTCAGCCATTTAATAAAATGTAGTTTTTGCACAGAATTTGTTCAACCATCATACATAATCATGGGTTGCAACTATCTTAATATTGACTTGATGAGGGAAACCTGAGGACAGAACAAATTTTCTCTGAATAAGGAAGCTGACAGCAGAAAGCATCAAACAATAGAGGGAGAGACTGTTCTCAATTCTTATGAATTTACATTTAATATTTAAACATTTTCCACCTACTTCTTGAACCCTCACTTGAAGCTTTTTGTACCATACAAGTGTTACTAACACAGTTATCTCAGTACACATGTACGCATGGCAGTACCTGTTTTCTTCCACCACCAGAGCTAGACTTTCCACCTCCAGAGAGTCGCTGGCTGGTCATGGATTTAACAGCATTAAGAGCAGAATCAACAATACCTTGTGCTGTCCTGGGACCTGTGCAAACACATCAATGATCAGACTAAAGTGCAGAACAAACAATAAGGGAAATCACATAGCTCACAAACACAGGCTATGCACAAATTCTATTTTTTATCATACCATTGTAATCACTTGGAGAGTTCTTGTTGGCACCAAAAACCTGAGGTAAACAGCAAACCATCAAATAATCATTATGCATCAAACCTAAGGGAGGTCTAAGAAATTTGTACAGTTGCCTTCCGGATCAGACTATCAGCCCCTAGAACTTTCTACTTGACTTAACATGCATGTTTATCTGTAATAACTGTAATCTAATGAGCTAAACACAAGAAATTTAACCTTGAGAAAATGCTGGCTATTACCTCGTCTGTTTTGCCGCAGTATTTTCTCAATAAATATTGTGGTCACACTCGTCTTTGCCACGGTGCTACATATTTTCACCCGTGGTGGACGCGAGGTGGCAGCAGGTGGCAAAGACGAGGTTTTGCCGCAACCTGATGGGTCCATAGTTTCAGGCAGTACTGTACATTGAGGTGTTATCTTTTTAGATGATTAACATAGAGAGATGGACCTACCTTTATTGTAGGAAATCCACGAATACCATACTGGCCTCCTAATGGCTGGTTTTGCTGATCATCCATATCCACTGCTCCAATTTTGACGGCACCCTAACAAGGGGACCATAAAAGATTGGTACATTACTTAATAGCAAATACACTATAAGGGTTGTTTGGGGGCTTTTAATAATAATAATAATAATAATAATAATAATAATAATAATAATAATAATAATAATAATAGTAATAGTAATAGTAATAATAATAATAATAAAAACATCAATAACTTGACTTTTTGCACAGATAAGCTTACATGTAAATGTAAAGTGTAGCCCCTTTCCCTCTTCCTTCACTAAAAAACCTTCCTAGCACAGAGTACTCACTTCAAAACATCCTGAAGATAATTTAACTTATCCTGGGGTAACTCCCTCTTAGCCATAATTCAACCCTATCTTTTCTGGGATCAAAATTATGCACTCTCCTTACAGTCAATAAAATTCTTTCGCTGTTAGGAAATCAAGGCAATGCAACCCCTCCTACATGCAGATGACGACTTTCACTGCAATTTGTCATCACCCATATATCCGTATAGAATAATTGTACTATATCTAAAGATACTGAAGCAATTTCAGTTGATGGTCTCTATTTGTACCTTGAGAGCTGAAGCAGCTTTCATCCACTCTGGTGCTAATGCCTTACAATGACCACACCTAAACAATTCAGTTTCCAAAAGAACAACAGGATAATCTTAATTAACATCTTTTAGATAAAAATTGTGACGAGGGGCCATGCAAGAAGGCAGCCTGAACAAAACCTTCACAGGCTGATTTGTCTAATACCTTTTAAGAGAAAGAACTCAGAGATTTAGTCAAAGACATCCGTACTAATGATGTGATGATTTGTGTAAAGTCGCAAAATCCTTCATAGGAAAAAAAGATGGCGGCTGTACATTTTACCACAATACCTTGCGACCCCGATACAACCCATCGGGCAGAAGGAAAGACATATTTTTCCCTGTGCTAACGACATTGTGTAAGCTACATTTGAGGATCATAAGACTGTTCTGGATGTTTTTATGTGCTTTTTAAGGATTTCTGTGCACTAAGAATTATGGACAGAAGTACCAATCATAATCTTTTTTCCTAAGGAGGATTAAAATAGGCTGTCACTTGTTTAAAATGTTCTCCCTTAAGGTGCAAACATTTAACTATCATTTAACTATGAGATACAGGGGGTGTCTCTCTACACAGTTTTTACGAACTGGGGAGAAAGGGGAGGGAAATAAATCTCCAAAATTTAATTTGGGATGTGAACTATTTTCTTTGTGAAACCTTTATTCCCCCATTTCTGATAAACATCCATGATTTTTCATTCCCTGTTTCAGGCCTGACCCAAAAATTAAAATCCCATTTCCAAACTCTAAAATTAGTGCTCATCTCTCATTATATATGTTGTAGGTCAAAATGAAATTCAGGTTAACATGAAATTCCTTTGTCTCTTAACCCTAATTTCTCATGGATTGACCTACAACATATACATGCCTCAGTAACAGAGAAAGGCTTTCATTTGTGTAAATAGTTGATTTCAACTACATTGTAAAAAGCACACCCAATTCCAGGCCAGAGTGTAATTCATACCCTATTGCAAAACAAAATGGTCATTATATTATCTTTACACCTTTTTTGCTCACCTTTAGGTTGTGGATGATTCTTTTTTTATTTTTTCGGTGGGCAATTGCTTATGCAAGAGTTTTTTTATAAGTCAAACACAGGACCAGGTTAGTAGGAAGCACTTGCTGGAATGTTTTTCCCATGGCTCCCCTTGCAACTTTTTTTTTCAGCAGTTTTGCTGTGCAGGAATTACTCTACCCAATCCCCCCCCGCCCCCACCCCCTCAAAAAATTGGTCCATCCCTTAGAGTGAACTTCACTGATTCATCCACAACAGATGTGCGGCCAAATAGTTATCAGATATTTAAATCATAGGGTGAGCTCTCCCAAGCGATATTTCATATTTAAGAGTTAAGTGATTAATTCGCTCTCATTAAAATAACTGTCTTCGTACACTTAAACTGTTTAAAGAAAACTTGAGCTTTATCAATCAAGGTAAATAGCAAAATCAATTAATAAGCTAAGCAAACGAGGTTATAGGCTTAATTTATGCTTCACATAGCGAAAGTTCTCCTCGAAATTGTAGGTAGTCTAAAACTGAACTTCATTATTAGAAAGACTGATTCGTAATATATTATCTTTTTACCAAAATTGCGCGCGTTTGATTTCTAAAAAATTGCGTTGCAAACAGTTTCTATTTTTTTTTATACATAAGTCTTACGTGTCAATAAGGTGCCCCACTCACTGTATGTTACTTTGAAAACATAAAATAAGGCAAGGCAAGATGGAAAATACGTACCATGGAGCAAAGAACTCCACAAGCCACACACTATCACTATCCATCACCATAGATCTAAAATTATTCGCTGTCAATTGTACAACATCGGTTTGAGGTCCGTAGAGAGCTCTTGCAAGTGTCACAAAACACGACAAAAACACACCTGAAAAACAAAGCGAAATCAAGTTACAAAATCGACTAAAACCTAGCAGGCAAAGAAATGAAGCGATAAACTTACAGTAAAAAGACCTCATGCTTGGAGAATCGCGAAAATAACGACAAAAACTCCACACCAAGTAAGAAGTAAGTTATATCTGACGTGGGAAAATCGAAGAAACTTTTATGAAGCTTCAAAAGGGGCCGGCCTCTCGTGTCTCGCTCTGATTGGTCAATTTTGGACATCAATTCAGATGCATTGCCGCTGATCATTTCATGTATGGCTCATAAATAAAGGCCACGGAAAAAACTCTCCCTTTGTGAGTAGAAAAAATAAACTATTGGATGCGACTTTCACTGGCATCTACAAAATTCATACCGCACTTTTCAAGGGAACAATTTAGTGGAGGTGAGAGTTATAATCTTGATTTAATAGTTCAGTTTAAGAATTGTTTTCCGACTGAAAATCATGAAGGGTGTTTTCCTTATGTTATTGTGCTTTTGAAACTAAAATGTGTGAAGTTGTCACATATTATATGACTTCAACAGAACACTTTATTTTTTTGGTAAGCATGTCTTGGGTAAAATACGACTAGAGGATAATTTCCATAGTTGACTGGAATATGTGTTATCTTTTGACCTTTATTCAAGTATCATGTGCAGTCATCCAGTAACTAAATTTGCTGATAAATAAGTACTCAATAAGATGCCTTATTATTATATTAGTTTATATATAACCCATTTCAAGTGTTTTCGATAATATGGTGAAGATGTTCAGCTTTAAAAATGTTACTTTTGCAATGTTTTATTCAAGTCCCAGAAGTCTGATGTTGCTTAATTAGTACTTAATAAATATACACCATCATATTACCTTCACTGGTCAGATTTCTTCTCAACAGCCTTAAGAACCCCTTACATTTTAGTTTGCGCTTCCATAAAGGAACACTATACAATGTATTTTAATTTAGCTCCTTGCATTCAGCATGATAAAAACATTTTAGGTATTTTTAACCAAGCAGATTGTTACAATAGACAACCATGCATATATAAAATTTTATTATTTTTGTTTTTTTTTTCCTGAAATATTTAATCATAGGCCTCCAGATTTCACTGTTTAGAACTTAAATGCCAAGGAATAGTATCATTTATTTCTTTTCCAGTATCCAAAATATCCTCAGTTTTATTTTGTTTAGTTTAATCAAATCAAAACTACTGACTGAATGATCGATCAATTGGCCTTTCTGTTGTATTAAATTGTATTACTGAAAAAATCACATTAAAAACTAGTACTGCAAACCTGAGTGTCAGCCAGATCATGCCAGCCTAGAAAAATGAACTCTAGGAGATTGCCAATATTACGTTTTCGGCCCTAAACAACATTGCTCAAAAATATTCCAAAATTTTCCCCCAAAAATGTTAAATCAGCCTAAATAAGTGTGGAAAATACACTTCACTCACTTTCCTTTGTATCCGATCTGGGAGATTTGGTGACCTGTATAGGAGACCAGGAGATTCATTCTGTTCTGGGAGCTTCCTGGATAACCTGGGACAGTTGACATAGATGCAGTGTATAATTAGCTAAATAAGATTATATGGGTGTGGCCAATTGTTCAGTTCCCGCATATTATGTTAATGCCACAGAAAGACAACAGAAATAACCAAAGTAGGAAGCTCTTCAGGAAACTATAATTTTGGAAACACACATGAACAAAATGGTAACCTGTTTTTTAGAATGCTAAGGTGTCAGATCTTTGGTGATTTTCTTGTTTTTTTTTCTTTTACATAAAAGCTTGAAACAGTAAACTATTTACAAATATATCAGGTTATTTACTCTGTAAACATTGATCTCAATTTCTTCTTTGGCAAATTGAAATTTAGTTATCAGTAGAGTTTTTCACTTTCATTCATATGGAAATGTTCGCATTTCAAAGACATTTAGGTTCATATTTTAGCATAAATGTGATACAAATACTAGTGTTACAAGGTGTCAGTGTATTTATTTATCTTGGGTCTTAAGCAACAAGTTGCAATTAATATTAAACATAGTTAATTAGCTTTTGCTGCATTTCAACTTGTTACTAACTGGAAAAAACAAAGGCCCTAGTTCTTGCTCCAAAATGGCCGCGAAATGAAAGGGCCTTTCCTGCGTGATGTCTCCCAGCACCTGCGATAAGAGAACCTAGCGTTCGCAAGGTGTTGTGGTTAAATTTGTAATCCTCGTGGATATTTGAGTCATGTTGTCTCTATTGATTCGAGTAGAAAGCAGATCTAGTTAACGAGCGGCCCGCGGTAGTCTCCACGGACATATCAGTTCTTCAGTTTTGGATTTTAATACGCTGCATTCCTTCCTGTCGCATCTCTACATTCGTGCAATGGCTGTTGTCAACTTGCTGCCGATGGTGTAGTGTAAAACATATCGTAAACACAAGGTTAAAATGTCGACGAAAACCTCTCCCACTTCGTCGAAAAATAAAATTATTTATCAAGTCGGAGCTCGGCTCGAGGCGATGGATTATACCCTTAGTTGGTGAGTAGCATTATTTCCTTAGAAAACGAAAGGTTTTGCTCTCTTGAGCTTTATATTTTTTGGAGAACAGCGCGGGTAACTCAAACGTTGTTTGGCGGTTGCATGCATGAATGATTTCTTCTCGGTGATGCTCTACGAAATTTTTGTGACAACTCTGTTTCAAGCATTACGCTGTTACCCATAGTAGTTTCTTATCGTCTTTTCTCTAGCTCTGTTATGTCGTTTTCTGTTTCACAAAATAGGTTCTCTTTGAAATTGCTTAAAATGTTTATAACGTCGCTTCAAGGTTATTATCAGCCACGACAATGATGTCATCGTTTCGAGTTGAAAATATACCGGGAAATTCAGCATTTATTTTAATCACATAAAATAAGAACGGTATGTTTTCGACTGACCACGAATTGTGAGTTTTTGCTTTCTCAAATTGAAAAATCGAACATGAAAAGTTATTTTGAACTCCTCTTTAGCTTTATTTAATTGACCACAAATGTTGGCTTTTATGTTTTTAACGTTTTGGGGACGACTGTGTTCGAAATAAAGGATAAAATAATTCTTTTAGAAAATAATTCTGTTAGTCTGGTACGTTATTTTATCGTTGTAAAGGTCTTTATGTATATCTCACCTCTTCCACTAGTAATATGCATAACAAGAGGATAAACGATGCCAAAAGATAACAAATATAATATGTAAAACTTTAAGCTAAAACTTATACACAGATGGACTGGCACATTTTTCATTGGCCAAATTTTGATGTAGCTATTTACCTTGTATTCATGGACTATACCTTATACTGTGTGTAAACAAATATACATTGTGCTTAGGTGTATATTCAAGATAACACAGAAGAAGTCCAACCTTTGGCTTGTAATCTAACACTTCTTAATGTATAGGAAGATAATATTGAGCGTACATGTACAGTAGCCTAAGGGCTTGTAAAATATAATACATTTGGCAAGATTTCATGTAGATGCTTGTGGCTTAAACAGGAATTTATTTGAGCCATTGCTATCTTCAATGTTTTTTTCCTGTTCCCTGAGCAGCTCATGACAATTAACTTTTTTTCAAAATGTAAGAAAAGAAGAACCTGCTACTTTTTCTCAGGTGGTGCTTTGTATATATCTATTGACTTTTATTTACAATTATCAGCCATCTCATTAGAAAGACATCTTCCTATACCTTTTAGCCTGAGGACTACTTAGCTATCTCCATAAAACAGGGAAGTAAATGTCCAACCTAGAGCAAGGGAAGTCAAAAAGCAATAGAAGAGACCCATAAGAACTTCCTCTTGAGGGCCAGGTTTTGTAAACTGCTTGCATTATAGGTAGCAAATTCACAACAGAAAATTGCCCTGAACTCTGATAGGTACCAGGTCTTTTGAAAAAAAACACTGGACCTTAGCAGAATGCAATAGCAGGCATATTTCTAAATAGTGAGGATAGATCGGTTTTCAATTGAGTGTTGAAAATAATCAGTTAATTACTTTGGTTTTGGGTTTACCACGGTTTGAGATTGGCTGAGTGGTCTACATGTAACTGGTGAGTAATTGGAATGGTTTTTGCTTTTACGACACTGACTTGAAAACCGCTCTACTGGGTGGTTGTAAATTGAAAATAGAAGACCTTGTTTTTGCTGCTTGCCTCATGTCTTGTTTTATAGCAGTAAGATTTATTAAAGTAAAATATTTAAAGAACTGACTTAAAACTGCTGCGACCACTGTGCACTTTGAACGGCAACTACAGTTGAACTTCCGATTGCGACCACCTCTCTCAAGCAACCACCTCTCCTCAGCGACCAGTTTTCCAATACATGAAAAGTTTCCAAGTCAAATCACTATATTTGGAACCTCTTGTAAGTGACCATGACCACTTTTAAAGCTAAAAGTTTGAAATTTTCTTTGTTTTTAACCTCCTGTAGGTGACCATTTCACAGATGATAGAGCGTGAATTAGATAATAAGGTGTTATACAACATTATCGCATTCCTGGGTAGTACAAGAGATGCAAATTTCTCGATGGGAATTACCAGATTTTTTTCCTGAGAGTGACTTTTCACATGAATAAGACAGTTAAAACATGTTCGCATTGCAGCTGGATCTTTCCCAAAAAGTAAAGGACGTGGTTTGTGGGTTATAAAGTGAGTGCTCAGACCCTGCGATGCTCTATAGGGTTCTAGGGGCTCATTGCATAGAATATGACCCTTTGTGATTTTTTATGTTTTAATGTTTTTATTTTTTTTTTTACATATATACATTTTATTTTGTTTTCAAATTAAAATTACGATTATAACATGTCTGCGGATAGCTGAGCTAATCTAGGCGGGTCATGTTTACGCTCACTGAGATACATAACCAGCTGTGTTTATGACACATTAGCAGCAGAGCTCTCAATTCGCTTTCACTCTCAAGAAATGATAAAATACAGTAATGGTAATTGTGTGGCTTATTGCCTAAACGTCAATTATGAAATCAAAGTACATTGGACATTGAGTGCCTGACGTGTAATAATTATGTTAAAACCTAACTGCCCATAGAACTGTACATGGAGGTTCCTCAAAGAAATTAACCTTTTGTGTGCATTATTTTTTATTAGGTACTCTGCAAAGATTTGTCGAGTGGATGACAAGGAGAAGAAGGTGCTGATTCATTTTGAGGGTTGGAATCATCGTTATGACGAGTGGATCTCATTTGATAGTGAACGGTTGAGACCACATGGACGGCAACACTTGTTCAGTGAGACCAAAGATGAAAAGGTTTGAGGATAATTTTCACGTGAATCATTTTTATTGATTAATTAGCTGAAACAGAAAAATTGATTGAGTATTAGCCGCATGAATAATTAATTCATGGCCGGACAGGAAAAGAGTGAATCAGGTAAAACTTCGTATTGTAGCTAAAATTATTTTTATGAAAACTCTTGTCACTTGTCTAGCTCCTGGTTTTAATTCTGACAAGAACAGATCTTATCTTTATCCTGTCCACCACCAAACCCATTGTTCTGGTCATTTAATGCTATAGATGCATGTGCTACGCAGTAAATAATTGATTACATAATTGGTATGACTGAAATACAGTCTTCTTAGCATGAAATTTCCTGGTGGTATCTTGTAGTTGGTTAACCAACATGCACCCAAATTTGTAGACCGTAATAAAATAAACTGCTATCCACTCTGTAGTTTACTGGATGAAAACAGACATCCAGGTCCCAGAACAATGACTTTGTGCCAGCTGTAAGTGAAATGGTAATGACTTACATGTACCAGTGAACAAGATGTGATAGCAGCTGATAGCACACTAACTTGTGCATGGTAGCAAAAGGCTTTTATTGAAGCAGTGCTCGATGTTGCAACCGCTGGGGTTGCCAATGCAACCACTTTTTTTTCACTAGCGTCTGAGTCACTTTTCACACTTTTCACTGAAATACTTTTGCTGGCAACTAGATCTGAAAACTTAGGGCCTAGCCAGTCCTAAGGGTTTTTTCCCGAAAGCTGAGCCCTGTGAAGGGGTTTCTTCCATTTTAAGCACATCATTTCAGTCTCTAGTTTCGTATGACTGCATTGTTTGATGTCTTTCCCTGTATTCCCTTTGAGGGTCAATACATGTATGTATCGGTAATGAGGATCTGTACATGTATGTAGAATTGCCAAAAGAGTAGCCACTACATACTGTGTGTAATTGTTATTGCATTTGGTTTTACTTGTTGTTCATGTGCATGTATTTTCCTAAGGCCAAGTTACATTGACTCACTGTACACATAGTTAATTTTCATTGAGCCAAATTCCTTGGAGAGACAAGAGACTGTTACTTGTGTTACAATGTATCTTCTTTTCAAAATGAGATGATTCAGAGATTTATTTTAAACTGGAATCCTCACGTTCTCAGATTAACTTGAAAACAAACTGAGCAGCTGTCTAATTTGCAGCCTCAACTTTTTAAATTAAAAGATGTTAATGTTGTGTTTTTCCTGTGCTTAATTCATCTTTAATGCATTTCTTCTTGAAACCCTTGCTTGATGAAATTAATGTAAACGTTGTTCAGAATCCCTGTCTTAAAATTGATTTGATCGTAATGGACAAGGCTCTTGAATGCAGATGTTTCATTGGACAGCACTCGGACAGGAAAATCATTTATTTGATGCAATCATCTGCAGATGTCAAAAGAAAGCAGTGGCCAATATTCCAATTATAATTTCTTTTTTATCTTGCAAGCTACTAAATTTCTTCCTTCTAATGTGTGATGCCATTTTAAAACAAAGTTCATCTTTTATTGTTAAAAAAATATTCCCCTTTTCTTGCTGTCCTTACTCTCTATTTCCAAAAAAAAAAACTTCAGTTCAAACCAAAATTATTTTCTTAAATAACTCTTTTAATAAAACTGTTGTTTAGAACACTATTCATAAATTATGCAGATGGCTTTGATGTTATATGTCTTCATGCATTATTAATAGTTTGTGTTCTACTTGCAAGTAGATGACCACTCCTGCTTTCTAAAATATTTTTTCCATTTCTTTGTGCTGCGGCTCTCTTCACTTGTCCCCTGTGATGATCAACTCTATCAGGAAGTTTGCGACTATCAGGTTAAGATGAGTTGTTTTTGCTGTTTTTATCTTGTAAATATATAACCACTACAACTGTACTTTATCTTGTACTGTAAATGATTTTAAAGTAAAATCTGTAATGTGCATGTAACCTGATTTTGCTTCCTTGTCATTAGATCTAACTTTAACAAGCTCGTCTTGTTATTTGAGTGAAAATAAAATTGTCAGGAAAAGACTTTCAAAGAGAGGTTCATCTACTAATTTGCAAAATTATGTATTTATTATTGCCATCTGTTTCTAATATTAACCAGACAAGAGTTTTCTAAGTTGGAGAGCTGTGTGCTGCCTGCCATTATCTGGCTCTAAACAAAATAAAATTTCTACATTACTTCCAATGCTGTCTTTGCTAAAGGCAGTCAATGTGAATTCTAACAACGTACATGTACAGTTGCACATCTAATGGTATTCAAACTGGATTAAATATAGTTTAGAAATGAAGGCAGCTTAGTTAATATTCAAGAGCCATGAAGATCTTTGTTTCAAGATAGTCGACAAAATACAAACTGCATGTAAAGTAAAGATCTTGTTCTTGTACTTGTAAATGTATTTTATGTGCTTACTGAAACTTATGGTACTGAGGATAGTTTAGACAAGTACAGTCTGTAAATTGATTGAGAAAGATTGTAAAATAACTTTTGTTTTAGAACTTGGTAAAATTTTGTTTTGGAAAAACATTTTAGGATTTCGATCTCAGCTTGTTATTGTTGGAGGCCCTTGTTACAGTTTATGTTAACTAACATTTTGATAACAATATATCAAAAGATAAAAGTTGCATGACACTAACCTGCACAACTGCCACCATTTTTACATTCTCAGACTTTCTACATTTTTTTTAAAATGGGATTTACATGTCTTTTAGCACTACGGTTGTGTGGTACATGTACTTTTCTTTTGCTCAGGCTCCACTTTTTGATTTTTTTAATCCAGCATAATCCAGATTTAATATTCCTTTAATTTGTTAGTTAAACCATGATGCCTTTGCATTTGACTCATCTTTGCACTTTTGTAACCACCTGACTTCTTTCTTTGTGGACAGTTCGTAATCTGTTCCAGTCCTGTCTCATTCTTAGCCACTCCTTATAGTTTTTTGATTGTCCTCTTTGGTGTATTTTACTACCTATGTGGGCATACTTTGACTGAACCTAAACAGATTGAACTTGTGTTCAGCAGAAACAATGGACTACTTTGAAGATGTCTCGCAATATCAACAATGTTTCTCACCTTCATAGATCAATCAACCATGCTGAATTTAGTAACCATGTAAAGTTTTGTAAGAATCCCTTGCAAATGCATGGTTACCCCAAACTTTCCAATTTATTACAAAGAAATGAATGCCAGGGGCAACTGCTTGCATTTCCCTGTACAAATTGGTAAATTTGGGGTCCCATTTTTCTATGCATTTGCAACAGTTTCTATGAAAGTTCACATGATGCACATTTCAATTCAATTTGTTAAGAATATGTGTATGTAGGCACCAATGTCTTGTTGAAAAGGATTCAAATTGATACATTGTGTTTTCTCTGTATATACAGGATTGGAAGACAGGAGATCGAGTGTTAGCAAAGTGGCAGGATTGTAAATTCTACCCTGCAAAAATTACTAAATGCCTCAGTGATGGTAAGAAGCCCTTGAATACTTTATTTGAGAAGAGTTTAGTAGGGTGCCCTTCCAACAGTAGTTATACAAGAATATGGCTGAATCACTGATCTGCAGGTTTGGTTATAAACTGATAGACTGGGTACCTTTTCCTTTACCAAAATTTTATCAATTCTTGAGAGCCTCCTGATTTTTAAACCAGATGAGATGCAACCATAAATTATCAAATGCTAAGGGACATCAACAAAATTAGAATGCATTTGCCTTTTAAGAAATAGAAAACATGTACCATGTCTCTATCAAGTTTAAGTACAAATCTACTAGCCTTCTATCACAAATGATTGGTTACTGATTGGCTATGCTACTCCCTATATATTCTGATTTAGTATAAATCTACTAGCGATCTATCACAAATGCCGTTCTCTGATTGGCTACACTACTCACTATCTATTCTGTGATAGATAGTGAGTAGCGTAGGAGTGTGCCCTTGTTAACAAAATGACAGCCGCTTCTTGGCATTTTCAAAGTGTCTGTGAAGAGGATTTAGATGATGTTTTGATCAAGTAGTTTATTCGCTCTCAATCTTTAAGCATGATAGTCAACTTGGGCTGCACCCTCATCAATTGTCATGCGATAGAAATCTTGAGCTCATAATCTAATTGCTTAGTAGAGGGTGAGTAGCCTAGCAGTGTGTGGTTGTCATCAAAATGACGGCCTTTTGTGTTTTGGGGGTATCTGTGAAGAGGATTTAGAACTGTTTTTTGAACGACTAGTAGATTTATACTAAAACAATTAGATTATTCACTCTCAATTTCTATGTGTGAAAGTTGACTCGGGCTGTGCCCTCATCTACTAACACACAACAGAAATCTTGAGCTCATATTCTAATTGTTTGATAGAAACACGAGTGGAAGTTTGGGAGAATGAGAAATGCTGTGGGAACACAAGATGATAGGCTAGTGTTTCCACAGCTATTTCAAGCTCTGCCAAACTTTCACAAGTTTTTCTATAATTTGATAGAAATACTGAGAACATGTTTTCTTTTTCTCTTTGCTCACACCATCATTACATCACCAGCTCATGCTAGGTCTGTGTTTCTATCAAGTTATAGAAACACAATTTTTAACCAATCAGCGCATGTATTTTCTTTGGGATATTTTCAAATATTTAATGTTAAATACATGTAATTTCATTACATTCACATGAATTCAGTGCACCCTTTTCCTTCCATGAAACTAAAGATGGGTGCAGCACAGTTTGTTTTTTGAAACTGAACAGTGACAGTCTAATTTGCTCAAAATAGCCATTGCTAAATAAGAACAAGAAATAATTGACATCCTGGAAAATCTGAACAAAACAAAACATTAAAAGACCTGCTTATTTGATGTTAGATGTTGATTTTTGGAACCAGCCCTTCAACTAATTTTTCATGGTAAGGTTGCCATAGATTTTCATGAGAAAGAAAACTTCATGTGTATTGCAAGTGACAAACTGTATTATTATTATCTGAACTTTTAGTTTAACAAAAATTTTGATGTGCATTCCCTGTGGAAACAGGTACATAAACCTTGAACCTGCATCACCTGTTATGGCTTACAACGACAGGGAACTTGAAATTAATAATTTTATTATGTATATAGACTTGTAAATCAGTTTCAAGCTTGTTGCAGTACATTGTACTTGGTTCATCCTAAATCCGGTTGTGAAGCATGTTTTTATGATAATCAACAAGCACATGACTTGTATGTTTTAATTTCTGTCTTATCATTTATTTAATTACCATGTGTATTGAAAAAGCTTTCAACTGAAATACTTAAATTGTGCAAATAGCAAGAATGTTTGCTTGTTAGTGATTATTTCATCGTGTGATTGCACAAGAATTGATCACAAGTGTTTTAATAACAGTTAGAGTTTAAACTCACTCTGGATGGCTTGAATCACAGGATTATGTTTCTACACACTAACTTTCTCAGTGATTATTTCATTGTGTGATTGCACAAGAATTTATCACATGTGTTTCAATAACAGTTATAGAGAAAACTCACTCTGGATGGCTTGAACTATAGGATTTTGTTTCTACCTTTCTCATAATTTAGGATATGTGTAGCTTTGGTTGTTAACTACAGAGTTCTGTTCCTCACATTTAAGGTGCATACGAAGTTCATTTTTATGATGGATTCAAGAAGGTTGTTCACAGAGTGAATATCAAACCAGATAATCGAGTGAGTACATGCGCACTGTACATGAGAATCTAAATCATTGCTACAAGGAACAAATGCTGCAATTATTGCAGTATTAAAAATGCTACAGCTGCGATTTTTTTTCCTGAAGATGTAGGTTGACAATGATTCAAATATCTCCTTCTCTGTCCATAATACAACCAGTCAGTTACTCAGGGCAGGGGAAAAAAAAAAAAAAACAGGTTTGATTGCTCTCGGGCGAGTGAAAATGGAAGTTTGGTGGTACAATGGGCAAGTGAAATTAGCCCCTGTAGTCTTGTTAGTTGAGAAGGCATAAACATTGCACACCTATTGGGTTAGTGATATTTTACTGGAGGCAACTGTAAACTGAAATGTACTGCCCACTGGGCAACTGGGCAACTGGATTTCAGAACTTTTTTCCTGCCCTGGTTACTGCCTGTTTGCACTTGACTTTTCTAGATTCTCCAACAACAGAATAACTGATTTAGATCTCTACATGTTGCTTGTACAGTATTGCTCAAGCTACCACCTCCTGCCTTCACCTCATGTCGCTTTTCATGTGCATTTTACACAACTTATGCCCAGGTCAAACATCAAACTTCACCTGAGATGAACTTAATTGGAATTTGAGGCGATCCAAACGGGTAAAGCTTGACTGTTGGTTCAAACGTTGACGTTAATTCCAATTTAGATCAACTGGAACATGAACATTCTATCTGTCTGTTTGAGACTTCAGTTGGGTGAACTCAGTCGAGTCAAAGGTCAAACTTATCATGAACTTAATTCCCTCAGTTTAGTTCGCCTCATGTGAAGTTTGACTTTTGACCTGGGTCTTACATGAAAAATGAACTCCTCTCTACAGAAGTTAACTATGATGCCTGTTGACAAGCTTGAACATGAGAAAGAGGTACAAGAAAGAAAAGAAAGGCGTCAGCAAATGGCATCAGCGAGAGCTGAGAGGGCTCGCAAAAGAAGTGCTGAGATTAGTCCTACTCCAGTCATACCCGTGAAAAGAAAAGATAATAGAGGAAAGAAGGGGAAAATGCAAGAGTAAGACGTCATTTGCTATCAAAGTAATTTATCGATAGTTGTTGCAAAGTTTCAGTGCCAATCTCAGACATGAGTCTTGTATGATAAAGATTTGGCTCCTAATCCCTAATCTTGATTAATAAAAAGAACCATTAATAAAAATTAGGAAAAAAAAAAGAATTAATATTTCAGACTTCCAGGTATAGGTAACCCACAACGATTTACCATCCCATCGAAGGGGAGTTCCAATACATACATGCTCAACTCCAAATGCACTTTGTTATTTTTACAGCCAAGTCTTCATCAGCCACATGTATACAACCTGTTCAACCAATTGTTCAATTTTATACCCTCGTGTAATTTCCCTTTGTTCGCAGAAGGGATGATTTTGGAACTGCAAGCGAGTCAAGTGTGTCCAGCCCAGCTGAAATGCCAGAAGTTGATGAGCAAATGGTAGATTCCCAAAAATTGTGAGTGTTGAGGATATTACATAAGGTCATGTTAAACAACTTGCAGAATAACTTGGATTGATTTGGTCAGACAATGCTACAGCCAGAGTAAACTGATATGATGGTTTGTGCTCCACTTTTGTTTCTTGTCTATTGTTTACTCAGCACAGGCTTTTAGCAACAGGCTTTCGTATTGTATGGAGTAAATCGTATAAAAAAAAAAAATCTGATGGGCATCCAGGCATCCTGTGGGCGACCACTTTTTAAAGAAAATTGTTTTCTTTTTGATATGTTGCCTTATAAATTGTTCATTTGAGCAGGCCCTATAGCACATTTTGGACGCCCACTTTTCGAATCCTGGCTAAGAGCCTGCTAAGGCACAGAAATTTCAAAATGGAAATTACATATATTGAACTCGAGAGGACATGTATCCAATTATTTAACATCATTACTATATTATTACTCTATTAATACTATATTATTTTCTTGGCCTAAGCATACACAACCTACATGCACAATAGAAACAATATCTCCTAGTGCTAAATTGAGGAATTATGTTGGACGTCGAGCCATCGAAAGAAAGAAAACAAGAAAATTAAAATATGCTATTGTGTCGGTCTTTGTCTAGCTGTCCAACATAATTTTTAACCCAGGCTTTCATTTGTGAACTGCTCAGTTGTGCATTTGTTTTGTGCCCTTGCATTTCAGCAGAGGACTTAGTTTAGTAGTCTTCTTGAGGAATGGTTTGTATGTTTAAGTTATCTTATGATCATATAGCTGGTTGCTGATATTCTTGTTCTTTGGTTTGTTTTTATTTGAGGGATAGGAAACAAAAAGAAGCTGATGTAGAAGCATTTAACAAAAGTGATGAAGGGCTGTCAGATGGTGAAGGAAATACTGAACAACAACTGACTGAGAAAGATAATTCACCAGAAAGTACATTTACACAAATATTAGATCCAAAAACACCAGTTGAGAAAAAAATGGAACAGAAGATGCCTGAAGAGAAAATAACTGAACGTGAAACATCAGTGGAGGTAACTTCAGAAAAGAAAATCTCCTTGGAGAAAGTATTTGCACAGAAAATGCCTGAAGGACAAAGAACAGGAGGGAAACTATCTGGGGAGGAAAAAACAAAGCTTAAACCACTTGTGGAAATCAAAAGTGACAATAGGGAGAAGCAAGAAGCCAAAAATGATGATAGTGCATTTCTCAAGGAGGAGAAAAAACCTTTTGCTCTTTTACCTGCATCATCAGCTTTGAAACAACAGCCACAGGAGGAACAAAGCATGAAGACATCTGTCACAGAAGAACTGACATCAAATTCATCATCCAGTAGTAATTCTCAAAAAAGTGATAGGGTAAGAGTGAAACTTAAAGATCCAAGCAGCTTTGCTGAAAGGGATGTGTTAGATTTCAAAGCCGAAAGCATAAAGATGGAACAGTTGAAAGATGCACCCAAAAATGGGAATGAAAGTACCATTGATTGTGCCTCTATAGTCGATGATGAAGTTGTACAAATAAAACTTGAGCCACCGAGTAGTTTTCTGCTGAATGAAGAAAATGAAAATAGTAACGATGGAAGTGTTTGTGACTCTATTAGCTCAGAGGTACAAGAACAAACTAATTCTTCAGCTCTACCAACTGTTGCTCCAAATACAGAGGCAAATACTTCATTAGTGGCACCTAAGTCATCTGATCCTTCACTCAAAATAAGAACTTCTAAAGGTCCCAAGATTAAGAGGACACTGTCTAGGGCTGAGCGATTGTCAAGAACTCGGAAAGCCAAGAGTGGCTTATCACTGAAAATGGGCTTATCTTTAAAAGTTGGCACTTCAGCTAAACAACAAGGGACCCCTGGGGTTAATTTGCCTTCAAAAGCAGATACCCCAGGAAATAGTTTACCATCAAAAGGGCCTTCTCCAGCAAAAGCTAGTATTAAGAGTGAGAAAACTGTGCAACGAAGAAGGAGCTTTAAGGGGGGTAGGCCATCATCAATCAGTCCCAGAGGATATGGTTATTCTATGGCATTCATGGACATTGAGAAACCGTCGCATTCTGGCACGAAACCAGAGGAAGACTCTGAAGTAACAGAAAGTGGAACAGGTTTACTGAAAACTTCTACACAAAGCACAAGTTACACCACCACCAGTCCAACTAGCCCTACAGTTGCAGGCACACCTGCTGAAAATCAGACTGCTCCTAAAAAACAGACATACCAAGCAAAGAAGTTTCGGCTCGATCAGATCACTGGAAAACTTTCAGCTCAGCGTCAGAGTGAAGCTAAAGCTGCAGCACACTCGCCATCTGCTTTTCAACTAACAAAGCATCACTCTTCTCCACCCCCTCCCCCAACACTTAGCCCGTCACCACCTGCTAATCCACCCTACCCAAGAGAGCCATACCCCCCACCTGGTCCCCCACCCTTACTGTACTCACCTATGCCAGGGTCATGCTGTCCTACGCCGCACCATCAGCACATGTACGGACCACACCCTGGTCATGGAATGCACCTTCCAGCAGGTCATATGCATCCACACCCAGATTACCCCCCTCCGTCATCAGGCTACATGCTGTATGCTCATGGGATGCATTACCCTCCCCCTGGTCCTTGCATTGGGCAGTGTAAGTGCCATCATTATGATTAAAACTTTCAATACATCAATATTCTAACTTGACTCACAGGCTTTCAGTACAAAATTTCACAGTTCTGTTGTTGTTTCATTGTAGGTTCTTGTTCAGCTGGTGTGAGGCAGCCTGTATTCCATGCCCTTCCTCCTGGGGCTCCCCCTCCTCCTCCTCCCACTCATGAGAGTGCACTGGCACAACTGATGCAGTGTGAGCAGAGGATCCTTCGTGGTGGGCCTGGAATGCCCCATTACAGAGAAGCAGCCCCTCCAGGGCCATGGGTGGGTCACAGACATGGGCCCCCACCATCCCAGTCCTTCATTCCAGTGAGCCATCATCACGAGGACCTTTGGCATGCTCATGAAGGTTGGTGCTGACCATATTTTCCTTATTGTTACTACTGGTAGTAGGGCTACCAATAAGGGCTGTAACCCATAACACCTGGTATGGCTGAGTATGTTTGATAGACCCTTGATGTTATGGGTGAACTGGCCTGTACATGTAGTTGATACAGTTCACCCATGAAGTAACAAGTTTGATACAGGTGTGAGGATCAATGCTGCAGGTGAATTAAAACTTAATGACAGTCCTGAGTAGTAATCAGGAATTAGTAAATGATGCATTTCCATATCCGGTACAGCCTTCACGCTTGACTCCCTGTCCGTCCTTAAAATCAAGCTTATTCCTGCTTGTGCAAAGGATCCCATGTCAAGTTTAGGTTGCATTCTTCTGCCGTCGAACGCAATTATTAGTTTTACTCACACTCATTTCAGTTTACTGATACAGCTACTTACACTTTTTACATCACATATACAATTACTCACACTACTTATAATACAATGCGATTACTTACACTATGCACAAAGCAGCGCTTTTCTCCTTGTTACAAGCACACTAAGCTTATTTACAAGTCATAAATAATGAGGGCCTTTTTGGAACTAAAGTCCCGGAAAAGCCAGGGAATTTTGAAAATGGATGTCTGTGGCAATCATGTTATTGGCTTCCCTTGGCTTTCTTGCCTTACATTGCCTTATGCCTGGGATATTTGCCTTACATTGATAAATACATTTATAACTGGCAGAAAAGGAAAATAAACAAAAATAAACAAACACTCTGTCATTAGGCTAAAATTCAACTTATGTTTTTCTTCTCAGAACGTGCACTCCAAGCTCCTCCTGCTTCTCAAGTGCCGCCTCCTCCTCCAGCCAGCATCAGCCCAACTTCAGACAGCCCTAAACATCCAAACAGACGCTCTCGTAAGAGTGAAAGACCACTCCCAACCAAAGCATTGCCTGCATCATCAGTTACAGGTACGGAAGCGTCTTCGACACCATCAACTTCAAAGGCAGATTCCGAACATGTTTCCAACGTTGATAAAGGCATTACGCCAAGAACTGAAGAGGATTGTGTGGATGTGACATCCAGTTCTGCTGTTTCTGATGCAACTGCAAAAGATGTCGTCAAAGATAAGACAGAAAAAGATGAAGAGTCTCTCCCAAACCAATTGTCATCTGCTTCAGATCAGAAAGCGGCACTTGCAGCGTTGTCTGCTAGTGTTATTGGAGCTGGAGCTTCAAGTACAGCTGCGTACGTAGGAGCAGCATCTAGGGCTCCACCTGGAGAGGGTACAGAAGGTCTTCCAGCGCTTCTTCCTGGCAGGGTTAGTCTTCTGTCTGGTTCTTATGTGAAGGGTGCTTAACTGGGAAATTTTAGCCTAAACGGTTCTTCTATGTTAGTTTTTTATACGTGGGTTTTACTGTATTTAACAGGCTTGAACGTTCGTACATGCACATGACAGTAAAGTGAATGTAAATCTTATAGTGGGCATGCACTTAGCTATACAAGCACTAAGCGTAGCTAGTTTACAGGCATGCCACTGAAACAAAGGAAACCAATACTTCAAGTAAACTTAACATAGTTAAAAATCCCAACTGGCAGGAGGCAGACCAGTTGACTATTTACAAAGCGTGACCGAAGATTTGAACTCAGGACCTACCGAGAAATAAATCTCGCTAGTGGTAGGGTGGATGCCTTGAACCCGGGACCTCCGGATTACAACACCAGCGCCCTAAACCACACGGCCACGCTGCTTCCATAACTGGTAATGATAGTATCAATAGATTGTGTGGATTGCTCAGTATTTTAACAATGGAGAAAGGAAGAATGCTTGTTGTGCCAATAAACGTGATACCCTGTGCTGTTGCTAACAACGATCATATAATGTTATTTTTTCTTTCAGATACGCAAGGGCAAAGACCTAGGTATGAATAGTGTTGTTTATACCACTTAAACTTTGACCTGTCAGGTTAACTTTGTTCGATGACAATTTCCCGACTGCTGTTAGTAGATAGTCTGAGATAATTTATTGTAGCAGATTCATCAGTCGTAAGAAACATTCCTTACAGCTGCAGTTTGGTTGGATTTCCAGTGGTTGTGACTAAATTCCTGGTTGGCCCAGCAGGGTTTCATTAAGGGCCCGGTGGGCACCGGGCAAATTGACGGCTGTGAGGACGAGTTTGCAGGGCTGGTTTGACCATCTAGCGGAAAGTTTCTTTCATAAAGAAGTTCAGTTTGAATAATTTTGGCTGCCTGTGAAAACCAATTGTCCCCCTGCTGAAAACGTTAATGAAACACCTGGGTAGGTGTTTTGACCGAGTGTTTAGCACATCCGGATTATTGTGTTCTTGGGCAAGTTATTTTACTCTGACAGTGCGTCGCTCCACCCAGGTTTATTAAAAGAGTAGTGTGATAGAGTGTGCTATTCATGGTTAATTTTCTCCATTTTGTTTTAGCTCCCAAAGAACTGATTATCGAGATTGATCATAACAAGTACAAGTGCCAGATCCCTGGCTGTGACAAGTCGTTCCGTAAAGAGAGTGGACTGGAATACCACATGAAATACTATCATGATCAAAAGGACAAAACTGGAATGAAAAGAAAGAAATCTGGTATGATCTGCACGACTTTCTGGTTGAAACTTGGCAGCTGCAAAGATCGGTTTAGTAGGATTCAAACGCAGAACCTTTGGGCGCTTTCCATTCAACCAAAAATTCCAAACATTTCGAAACGGGCACAAATGGTACTACTAGGAAAGTTTCCAGAAAATCCGGAAATTCAACAATTTCCGGAAAGCGAACCATTCAACCGAAAATTCCGTAAATTGTGGGAAGAAAGTCAAATGGAACGGAAATTCCCGACAAGAAATTTCCGAAAATTTCGGTATACCTCGCAAGGTTGTCCTCTTTTCTGGAAATTCCGGAAAATGCTGTTCGATTTGTAACTGGGAATATCCGGAAATTCAAACCGGAATTTTTCATGAAATGGGAAGTGCACTTTGTGATGCTAGGGCAAATACTGTAAAACTGATCAGTTTCCAGGCTTTCTTTGCTTAAATTGTTCACATGACTACAGGTGAGAATCTCTTACTTGTAATTTTCTATCTGCAGTTCGCATAATTCAATTATTCTTTGAAATGTAAGACAGGAGATGAGTCAGTCATAGAAGAAATGACAAGTCAAGTCCGATTCAAGTCATTGCAGAAATATCTCAGTCTGGTTTGGAATCGAAGTGATTTGAGAATTCTTTGCCTGCTATAGCAACGTTATATTTAGACTTATTTACCTTTTATTTTTCTATATTGTGAAGAGCGTTTGAGTTTTATAGTGTTATTTCATTGGTCAACTTAGTCAGTTGGTCGGCCAGTCAGCCAGTCAGTCAGGCAAATAGTAAATCACATTTATTATAAGTCAGAAAATTCAACCTTAAAGGAGCTACATCCCGGTTTGTGCATCTTGAAAAGTTAAGCCTAAATTTTTCTAGTTCGTTGAATCCGTTAAATCGTCCCTATCCCTTAACCATCCTTGTTCCTTTATGGTATATTATTATCTCTTTGGTATTTTTCTACCTTATTAAACTACTATTTTCAGGTTACCTACAATTTAAAGGCAATTTTGTACGTGGCCAAAATAACTCAAAATATCGTGGCTGAGCTCCTTTAACGACTTGATCAAATATGAAATAAATCAGTCACCAAGCAAGTAATCTTCCAGCTGGTTTTATTCATCAATCTAAAGCCTTGACAAGATTTTCTTTGTGTTCATCAGTCTCTGTCAGGTCTGACTCTACTCCAGACACCTCTCCAGAGTTTGGCAGCCGTCACCGTATACCCAAGCGGCGCATACACAGGTCCTCAGCCCCAGCACAGCTCACCACGAGCAGCACTCAGCTAAGCAGCCCATCTAGTGTCGCTGCCCCAGCGAGCATTAAATCTGAACCGGCGGCAACACTGGAGCCAGAGCTGCCCGACATGTTTATGTCAGGTAGTATGGATTCAGAACCCTCTATCAATCAGGACACTGATTTGGAGATTGAAGGTGGTGGCGCAGACAGTGAGAGTATTGACCCGGGTATGGTGGAGTGCATGGAAGTGGAAGAAGAAGAGGACGTGAACGGTGATGTAATAAGGTGTCTGTGTAACGAGTCTGAAGAAGGTGGATTCATGATACAGGTAATGCTCTATCAGTCCTGCAAATAACTTAGCCTGCGTTGCAGGCGTAAACGGGGAAGGGGCAGGGAGGTAAAAAATACGAGGGAGAAAACGCCCCCTCCTTCTATCCCCACTCTCACTCTCCCTTCCCCTGTACCCAGTTTTGTGCCTGCTATGCAAGCTACAAATAAATAGCCTTTTGCTGAAGCTATTTCATTTCTGATAGTGTAAGCGGCGTGTCACTGTGAAAGCTTAGAGTGCGAGACAAACTAAAAAGAAATCGAGATTGCTGCCTCTTACACTGTCAGATTGATAATTTGTTGGAAATCTACTGTCAACATCCGAGGTTTCCAGTAGTCTATTTGCACAAACGTTGTCAGGTGGCCTTGGTCGGGTTAGTAGGATTGTAAGGCAAGTTTTTAGAACTTGGCATGATCAACTGCTGTTTCTGGCTTTGATACTTCCTTGCTCGTAAGTTTTCCAATGGCCCATATTCGTATTCTCGGTATTGGACTGCAACTAGCTTGCAATGGAGGTTAACGCGGGGGAATATCATTAATTAACGCCCAAGTCGCTAGTGGAGGGAAGGTACCTACGAAGCCCGGGGGCTGCAACCGCAGTCACATCCCCAAGGCGCTAGAACACCCGACTGGCCTGCCCAACCCGTAACCAAGCCACGAGCCCCGCGTGCTAAGCCCCCTACAGGCACCCGTCACACTCAAGCCAGATGGCATTGGTGGAAAAAAAAATACTGAAAAGACGGGGGGGGGGG